ATATATATATATATATATATATATATATATATATATATATATATATATATATATATATATATATATATATATATAAATGCTTGAGTCCCTCGTAGCAAATTTAATTAGAACTAAATGACAATCTCAAACTATTTTTTAAGAATACATCCCTATTTTAAAATATAATATGTCTCACATCCCAATTTTTTTAATCCCTAACTTGCCCTTATACCCTAAGTATAAACTTTATTTACGTCTCTCCAACCTATATCTGTTTATTTTTTTTTATTCTCTCTCTTTCTTTCTCTCGTTCCTTTCTCTCGTTCTCTACATGTCTGTTGCTCTTTCTCACTCTCCCTCTCGATCTCTCTTGCTCCCTGTTATGGTGGGTGGCTATTGCGTCTATGGCTGCAGTGGGGGTGGTCATGGTGGCGCCGGTTAACGTGGGGTTATTATGGAGGCGGTCATGGTGAATGGCGGCGGCTATAGAGGCGGTGCATATGGTGGGGGTTGTTATGGCGACGTCTATGGAGGTCGTGGGTATGGTGGAGATAGTTATGGAGGCGGTTAAGGGTGGTGGTGGTCACAGTTATTAAGGGAATTGGTGATGGAGATAGAGAAAGGTCGGGAGGCGATGAATATGGAGGTGGTGGCGGCTATGGTGGCGGTTTTGCAAATCTAGGTTTTTATTTTGGCAGCTATAGCGACGGTGGTTGTAGATCTAAGGTTTTATTTTTGGATGACTATTGATTTTTGTAGTATATGCTTGTTGACGGCTAGGGTTCAATTTATGTATTACTTGGTGCATATTTTATTTGTTGTGTGGAGGGCATTTTTGGGATGAAATTTATAAAGAATGTGAAGCAAAGGTTTAGTTGAGCTTGTCACTTAATTCTAATAAGTTTTATCATCAGGGACCTATCTTAAGACCATATATATATATATATATATATATATATATATAGAAATATTAAAATCCAAATCAAAAATAATGAAAAAATAACATTTTGCATATCACCTTGGAATCCATGAGCAGAATGTCAAGACTAACAATTTCATCTTTGTTATCGTAATGTGGAACCAACCACAGCAACATTACTCGTACAATAACTCTCCAAGCCATTGTAGTCGGACTAAGGTCAACAATTTTCGTGATATTGGGAACCATTATAGAAATTAAAAATAAGATTTATTTGTATTTGAGTATTATTTGTGGATAAGGGTATATTTGTCATCTTTGGTCTTGATGTAATAAAATTAGATTAATTTACGGGCTTGAACTAATAAACTCCTTTATGTGGTTTTGAACTAATAAAAAAATGGGCTTGCATGTAACGGCCGCCTTACATCGGTGATGAAAATATAACAATAAGAAAACGCACTTCAACTGTATGTTCAAGCAGATAACGATTTATAAAAAAGAGCAAAGCTAATTACGCAAATTCTACAGACACAACCTCAACTGAGATTATCAAAACAAGTGCGTATTGATCTGCCACCATTGCTTGAAAACATTCTCGGTGCATCATGGTGAGATTACAATGCATGCAACGCACCAAGTCGGACGTTCTCACACGCTCCAGATAGTGGTCACAATATATGCAGGTTAAAAAGAACCCTTTCACTGAAATTTCCTTACAATATGACTAACTTCGTGAGAAATTTGATTCAAATTCTTCTTTCACAAATACATGTTGGAATACCAATTTGCCAATCAATACGACTAACGTAACAATTGTTGTGCCTCAAACGTTAACAGGCGGTGACCCTTGAAGTGATAAAACATAATGAGTTTACAACATAAAAAATAAATGGCATAATAGGTTTATGAAAACGAAAAATATCATGGTCAACCAAACAATGAAAGAGATGAACATTATGTGAAGGCATATGGCTGACATACGGGGATTCATTGCCAACAAAAATTATGCCTAAGTTGTACAAAAAAATCAAAATCGTTAGCAACTATTATGTGATGTGAAATTTAAACATATGATATAAAATAAATATAAAAAAATAATTGTGTTGTTTACCTGTAGAAAGCAATTGCTAATGTTGAAAATGTTGGTAAGGAAAAAGAAGACGAACAAAATTTTAAACGAGCAGGAAGAAGACGCTTGGCAAAATAAAATGTGATTTTTTGTGGAGTTCTCGTGAATTTAAATAGAATAATGAAATTGGTAATGGGGTTGAGATCATGGTGTGATAACTTCTACCATGATGAGTAAGTGGCTGGTTAGAGTGGATAAAGAAAAATAAAAATATATAAATAAATAAACTAGAAACATGGTATATGCAAATATAGGGAATTAGTGTTTAAATTAGAGATTATTAATTTAAAAATTACCCCAGGTTTAGGTCTAGATTTTAGTTCAAAATATCTTTCTTTTATATATAAAATTTTTTAACTCAAGTTTTGGCCCAAACATTTTTTTTTCTCACATCGTGTGCTGCATTTTTGGCCAATTTTCCATTCTGCTATTTTTTCACTTCTCAAAACCGCTGGAAAAAACCGCACACGATGTAAGCTCAGTGGGCAAGCTAGTGTAGGGCCAGGGGGTGCCACGGCCCCCTTCAATTTTTTTTCTCACTACTATAGAAGTATTACGTGACTTAGAACTAGGGACAAGTCAACCACTAGGCAAGGAGGGACACAAATCCATTCAATTTTTATTATTTAGTCCACCCAAAATTCAAATTAATTAATGCAAAAAAAGACCTACTAAATATTTCTTTTCCTATCTTCTGGTTTTCTTAAGAACAAAGGGGAAAAAATCCATTTTTTTTCAAGGGCACTGCCCCGAACCCCCAAAATTTAAGCCCATCCTATAATAATATACTAAATTCGTTACTCTTGAAACAGTCGTTGCAGTCATTAAATTTTTTACGTTATTTTGTATTTATATTTTTTTTATGTGTATTCGACCCCCCAATGAAGAAATCCTGGCTTCGCCACTGTGTAAGCTTAACTACAACACAAAATTTGAATATTTTTAACCACTCTGACAACTCTTTCTTGTAATTGTCTCCTACAATTTTTCATAGCTTCAGATTATTTTCCGAAAAAACACACGATCAAACTATTGCATTGATATAATTCCTTGTTTTTTTAACAGACTATAGTCTATACTTTCACCATAAGTATTTCTCCTAATATATCGATTTAAATTCAATAAATTGTGTTTCTTCACTGAGTAATTAATTGATTTGCACTGATGAATTGGTGGGGAAAGAAAATGTGAAGCAGTGTAGAAAGTGTAAAACATCAGTCTACCGGCATCAACTATCAAGTTTATTATTGTACTTAATTGACGACATACCAATGCTATATATATATATATATATATATATATATATATATATATATATATATATATATATATATATATATATATATATATATATATATATATATATATATATATATATATATGTTAGACAGACACACCAAAATGTTGTATTTGCTGTATGTAGATCTTCAATTTATTGCAACATGGTTGTGAGTTTGTATTAGCACCAACTTTATTTTCCTAAATATTCACTTCACCTTCGTAAATTCCGTACGTTTAATTTGCAGTTCCACTGTAACAGACACGTCACCAAAATTAACCAGAACCGAACGGAACACACACACACACACACACATATATATATATGTGTGCGTGTGTGTTCATATGTATATATATCAACGACGCATCACGAGCTAGGGCGTGGTTGCCTTAACACGACAGAACAGTTGGTCACAGTTGGAAATAAAAACTTACAAGGTTCACAGTAGAATAAGAAAGAAAATCAAGAAACAGAAGATAAATCAAATATATAGATATATAATAACAAGAATGTGAACGACACTGAAGTGGCTCCCTTCACATGCAATAAGAAGTATAAGATTAGCCCAATATCCGAGAATATGTAATACGAGAACGTGCACATACCAGAGACTACTAATAGAAAGCTACAATAAAAAAGAGAGAGATAGAGAGAGAGAACTACAGAAAAACCTCAATCTGGGGGTCGAAAGCAAAGTTCCTACGTCATGCAGAAAAATAAAAGGTTCGGTTAATCGGGAAGCATTTTTATGGGATTGGGCCACCCCATATTTGCATACATAGGGATACTCTGTACTGGCTGCTGCCCAGCGTTAGTACTGTAAGGTCCAGACGAGTCACGTTCAAGAGGACTACCATCATCATTCTCCTCAGCCGACTCACTCGATGCACCTGGAGGAGGGCTAGCCTGTGGCGCTGGCGCACCGAAATTCAGCATATTTGATGGCGGGGTCGAAGTGGGACCCGCCTTTGGCTTCTTTCCATCCGCAATGAAGCTTCCTACAACAACCTGGAAAAGAAGAATAGTAATAAAAAAATAAATAGATAGCAACGAAGAGAGAGAAGTGCGAACGAATCCATGATAAAAGAAAAAATAAATAACAATAATAATAATAATAAATTAATTAAATTAAAAAAAAAAAACAAGTACCTGAACAGGGGATGCAGCCTTGAGCATTCCAGCAACTCCACCACCCAAGACTCTACCATCTGCGCCAGCCAATGAAACGCTTAAACCACCGGTTCGACTTCGGCTACCATTACTCTCTGACATTAGGAACGAGCCTGACAAAGATATTATCTCAAACCGGCCCTGCAAATTTATGACACCACCATTATTGGACACGCTTAAACAATAAACTCAAACATATAATAAAATTAAAACATCTCACAAGCTTTGGTGCAAATTTAACTCGGTTTTGAACTCTGCCCGGCAAATTTAAGCATTATTTCTACACCTGCGATGATTATTGACCCCTAATATAGAATTCAACATTGAACCAATGAATGTTCAAGGCATCTAGGACGAAGAATTCAAACGTAATATCTTAAGAGCTAATTAAGCCTGTGGAAGCATTTTTCACCAACATCAATCACATATGTAATTCAAATTGATGCGTATCTATACCAAAAATGCAAATGAGAACAGTTATTGGCATAATGTTTCAGACAGCACAAAAAGGATTATCGAAAGGGATAAGAACCAAGGAAAAAAAAAGTTCATTAAAAATCCTGAGAAGTGAAGACTCCTCAACAAGGCCCGTACTTGTATCTGTACTTGTAATCTAGCTAATGAACAAAATATAAGACGGAATAAAAGGACAGGGACCTGGAGAAAACCACAGCACGAGACCCTTTTAATTTTCTTAAGAGCATCATCACTTGGTAAAAAACAACTTTCTAAATGTAACCCATTGGAGGATGCCACGTGCACTATCAAAGTTTCCTACTTAGCACATTAAAAACATAAAGGAATGCTAGCTAACAAATTACAATACTACCAGGATTAGGGGTGAGATCGGCTCGGATCGGGTCGGTTTTAGCCTAAAACCGAACCTGGAACCGAAATGGTCGGTTCACGAAGAACCAAAAACCAAACCGGTCGGTTCATGTCGGTTCGGTTCTAGTCGGTTTTTCGGTTTTTTTTTTCGGTTTCGGTTTTTTTTCGGTTCCTAAATTTTCGGTTCGGTTTCTTAACGGTTCCGGTTTTCGGGTCGGTTTTCAGCCCTTTTTTTTCTCTAAACTAAATTTAAATAAGCCCAAAATATGCTAAAAATAATTCAGCCCATTTTGAACCAACAAAGCCCAAAAAGAAACGAGCTGGGGCGGGTTATTGGGCTGGGGCGGGTTATTGGGCTGGGGCACATTAAAATTCAGAGAAAAAAAAATCAGGAATATATATTAGGCCCTATCAAAACGACGTCGTTTCGGATCGGTTCGGTACATCGGCTCGGTTAACCACTTGAAAAACCGAGTGTGAACCGAAAATTTCGGTTCGGCGGAAATAAAAAACCGTATATGCGGTTCTTGCTTCGGGACGGCATATTTCGGGTCGGTTTTTCGGTTTTCGGTCCGGTTTTTCGGTTTTCGGATTTTTTTTCCTCACCCCTAACCAGGATAAGCATTATGGAACAAGAATAGAGCAAATATAAATTGGTAAAAATAAAACTAGGCACTATCGAATACAAGTTTACTGTTATAATAAACTTTCAAGTAATCAAGATTACCTGCTATTTCTGCGCAGATTAACCACATAAGGTAAACAGTGTACGACGGCAACAAATCTCAAGAGTTTTTTTTTGTAATTATGAATATCTGAGGAGTCTTGTGGTAATTCAACCTTAACTCGGGGGTTTTGGTAATTTACCCTTTAATTCCAGTCCAGTATACCAAAACCAATTATATTTCTTTTTCTGTATTACTTGAAACTCCAAATCTTTGTTCATCCATAATCACAAACGGAACAAATTGAATCAGGATTGTATTAGGTATTATAGGTACTATCAATTGTAGTTTAAGGTTTTAAGTACATTATCAGTGAGAAGAGCTAAACAATCTTCCAAATCCAGCTTATTTAACCAATATCTGGCCACAGTCTACACCCAGCTTATTTAACCAAAATCGTAAATCTTTTTCTTAAATATTAAGATTTTTTATTTTTTTTTCAACTATTATATTATATATATTACAAGCTTAAATGATATCCTATCATTTAAACAAATTATAAAGCATTATAACAAAAAATAAAAATATCTTATACTGCAATTCTATTTATCTGTTTACGCTTGGAGATGAGCAGTATTTGGAGACGGAAAAAGCGTTAATGAGAAGTTAGAAATGTATTATGGATTTATGATAGTATGAATATTTATCATGTAGTGTTCTTTATATTTAAAATATTTTTTTTCTCATCAAAATTATCTTCAAATGTATTACACTCTCTTGAATCGTAAAATCATGCTTGTACAAATATATCTCAATACTTTTAAGATTTACTACTTCAATAGAACTTTTTTTACATTTAAAATTTATTTACAGATTTGAAACGATGAGTGTAAATCGAATCGAATGATAAGATTCTAACAACATGGTCCAATAGTGTTTCCTAATCCTACCGAAGGCATGCATCGTGAAACTAAATCAATAAAAACAACTTTACTACTGAAACTATTGTAGACGCTCAGATTTTCCTTTCCAGTAAAACCCCAACCAACAACAGTAATAAAACTTTTCAGATGTAACAAAATGCCAGATTTCTCGAAAACAGCAACTCTGGGAACTAAATCAAATTATCTAAATACAAAACAAAAATGCACTTTCTCGATTTATCTTCATAAATCAGTCTAAAATTTTATAGACGAAGATAAATCAAATTGACTTTTTAAGCTCCTTGCCAGATGTGACGACATCCAGTCATCATTTTCATGTAGCTATAGCATTTTTAATTTAAACCAATAGAGAGTGAGTGAAATAAACTCTTTAACAGATTACATGGAAACATCGCCTCCACGATATGTAAAATCTAAGCTTCACAAAGTATATGAAGGAGTCGATGTTATACTTACCTTTATGTATTCATTGATAACGAGCGAAGAAATATGAATACGAGAATTATCTACCACATTTAGCAGATATTTAGATCTTACTTTATAGATATAGGTATTCCAGATATAAGAACAATACTGCTTCATCAAATGTAAGGTAAATATATATATATGATAACAGCACAAACCTCATATGTAACTGTGCCACCGGACATTGCAGGTTGACGAAGGGTAACATTACAGATAGCACCATAAGCAGATAGAATGCAAACTGTGCGTGGTCCTTGCTGTGAGAATGCCATTATTTTCGACGCTATATCCTACAAAACAAACACATTCTCAGCCTTTCTTTCATTGCAAAAACTGGTCTATATTGATAACTTTGATATGCTTTAGGAAACCTCGGTAAAGAACGGAGATAAACGTAAGGTTAATGTTCAATTTGGTAGTACAGATAATTACTGAGACTAAGTACCTACCTTTAATACATGAGTACAAGAAAAATAAAGACAGTTAATACATCCGTACCATTTGGTTTCTCTTTAGCCAAAAAAGAAAAAACAAATCACGTATTAGTTGTTATTTGAGGAGTCCAACACATAATTAATCCTATTTTTACAATTTACTATTAATTGTAGAGAGAGAAGATGACCATGAAATTAACGAGAGGATTGCCGTACCAATTAATGCTGAGATTATACGTACAAAGGGTAATGTTTGCTTTTCTTGTCAAAATGGAAGCTATTTAATGAGTTTCTTAATCTATGGCCTAAACCTTAAACGACTAACAAAAAATTGGAGGGAGTAATAGGTAATCTTATATATAAGCCTAAAGTACCTAACCCTCATAGTAACAAGAAGTATTATCAATGTTAACGTTTCTGAAAGGCGGATAAAAATCATCTGCTCTTCATTCTTACATTACATTGAGTTTGACTGGTGTTCAGCATAAATGAACAACGCCAGCTTCATCTTGCACATCTCAATATAAGGCTCATTTTTTTCTGAAGTATAACTTCTTTACCTAAACTATACTCACTTAAAAGTAATTATGCGCCAGAACAAAGCTGAAGGGAAGAGAGCAGCTTAAAGATGCCCACACTTTCACTTTCTAATTCGTCTAAAAATTGTTCACCTAGTCGAGTGGGCGCCCAAATATTGCAACATAAGGAATACTACATCTAGATTTTCAGAAACTAATTAACAAGTACAAATTTGAGTCATCGGAGGCATTTTTTTTGTCAAAATAAAATAGAGATTTTCAACCTTTCAGAATACTACAATTGTTCTTTCAGACACAAGATTAACGAATTCTACATATTTGATGGGAATCATTCGTCAAACCGAAAAGACTCGACTTTTATCATAAGATTGTAGGAATAATATACAGGCTTTGATAAACTTTTATGTTCACAATTGGCCCGATCATTCCACTGTTCTTCACAGTGATGCTTCCTTTTCATCCAATCATAAAATATATCTTGGGGTTTGGCAAGAAGTACAACTAATATTTCCTGTCGCGGGCAACTCCTAGCTTGAGCGCTAACATTTTAATGATAATAACACAAAAGTTTGAGCTTTATATTCAAAAGCATACTTGGATATGACCTTCTTTATGCTCTTGTTTTCAGTGTACTTGTCCAAGTCATGGTGCAGGCAGAAGTGTCAAAGAAGTTTAAGGTTTGCTTAAGTATATCAATGTGCGAAAATCTGTACGTAGTTTAGGGATTACGAGGTTATATATAGTATATTATACGTGGCGTATTGCATCTACGCATTAAACTGATGAGCAGATCCTAAATACTAGAGAGTTAAGTCATAAATGAAGTCAGTGAGAAATCGAACATTAAATATGGCATCAGAGCACTCAATAGCCTTGGAGAAAACCAGTAATCACATATCTACTTAACTATACCCTATCCTATACCGAAATACGATACTGCTGCACAGGTCTATTTAACTCAATAAGCGCCCACATTACAAACAGAGATAGCAATAGAAATACCCGTTTTTTTCACCTAGAAACGTTGTTTACCAAATTGGAGAATTTCAGTAGTAAACGTGTAAGATATTCACCTGAGAATTTTTATTGCAATGCTAACACAATAAGGATAAACGGAAAGATTAATTACCCTTACGTGACATACTATCTTTTCAAATACACTAACATATGACGTGGATAAGGTTAGAGATTTCATTGTCCAAACTAAGAAAAGCATTAAATCCTAGGTTCATGGTCTTCGAAGGCTTCGATTTCTACCTTTAACTTTATTTCTTCATTCACCACCATATGTAAGATAACATAAACAGAAAAGGCAAGATAAAATCTTTTCTACATATAGAAAATGAGAAGACATACGTCATCTTAATCCACGCAGTTACGAAAAACTATTAGCAAATAACATGAATTTAATTCAGATAACTATGTTTTATCAAACAAACTAGCAACCTACTCAACTGGGAGGCACCAGATTATACACGTCGCTACCCAATATTTAATAAACAGACAATAGATCTAATTACTCTTAACGCACGACCTAAAAAACTTCAAACATCATCTTAAAGTTATTCATCACTGATAATTAATGTTAAATTTAAAGTCACCATAGAATTTCCAGCCGAAATAACCAAGGAGGATCTAAGAGATAAATACCAAACGAAGTGCTTTGATAATCACTTTGCCGTTGTGCTTACATACAACTTACCGAAATCACTGACAAAAATCAAGCAAATTGGAATAAAACATATTCAAAAAACTGAAACTTTTTAGTTTGTTTACCTCTCCTGATTCTACTGTAATTACATGAGGGGTAAAACCAACTCCC